CTTGTTATGAACAGACTGATTACCAGAATACCCCTCCTCCCAGTTACCAAAATACCCCCTCTCCTAGTTATCAGAATACTCCCCCTCCTAATTACCAAACTCCCCCTCCTAATTACCAAACTCCCCCTCCAGTTTACCAGACTCCATCTCATCACTACCGAAATATCGCCCCCAACTGTGCCAATGTTCAGACAAATTACCAAACGCCTCCCCCAATGTACCAAACCCTAGCTCCACTTTACCAAAATACCCCCTCGAACTACCAAGCTCCACAACCAAACTACCAAACCAACTCATATCCCAGATATCAAGCCCCCGTCCGAATGCTCCAAATTATCGCCAAATGCCTCCCTCTCAACAAGGCAATTACGATCCCCCCCGTCCCAGATTTGAGAAGAAGCCTGCTAGAATTTTCACTCCGCTTATTGAAAGCCGAACAAAGTTGTTCGAGCGATTCCCTGCTGCAGGATATATTCATCCAGTGGGGCCCAAGCCAGTGGACACTAGTTCCAAGTTTTACAGACCTGATCAGAGGTGCGCGTATCACTCCAACAGTATTGGACATGATACTGAAGACTGTATCAACCTGAAGCATAAGATCCAAGACCTAATTGACCAGAATGTGGTCTCTCTTCAGACGGTCGCGCCCAATGTTAATAGTAATCCTTTGCCGAATCATGGAGGCGCCACTATCAATATGATAGAGACAGATGACGATTGGTGCGTGACAAAGGCAATAGTATCGGTTGTTCCTGATGAGCTAGAAAGGGCTGTAGCCTCGCTGAGGATTAGAGAGAAGAAAGAGTTTGTGATTCTGACACCCGAAAAGGCTGTTGCCTTGGTGCCACGAGAAACTCTTGCCCGACCAAAGTTTGTGATTGAAACAGCTGTTTCCCAGGGTATGACCAGATTCGGCAGGTGCTACACACCGGAAGAGTTGGCTCCAGGAGGGCAGAAGAAGGACCAAGCAAAAAGGTCGATTAGTGAAGCCGAAGCTGAAGAGTTCTAGAGAAAAATGCAATCGAAAGATTATTCGATTGTGAAGCATCTAGAGAAGACGCCAGCTCAAATTTCTGTGTGGGCTTTATTGATGAGTTCGCAGTTGCATAGACAGGCTTTGATGAGAGCTTTAGACGACACTTATGTGCCTGTGGGTACTAACAGTGACAATCTAGCAGCCATGATAAACCAGGTCATTCGGGGACATCGAATCAGCTTTTGTGACGAAGAGTTGCCCTTTGAAGGAAAGATGCACAACAAAGCTCTGCACGTCACCGTCAAATGCCGGGACAAAGTTGTAAATCATGTTTTGGTCGACGATGGGTCCGGTCTCAACATTTGCCCGCTTTCGACTCTCAAGCAGCTGTAATTCGACTTGGGAAAGGTTCAACAAAACCAGGTCAATGTGAGAGCTTTTGATGGAGTGCAAAGAGATACATTGGGCGCCGTGAACTTAGATATTCAGGTGAGTCCTGCAGTATTTAACGTGGAGTTCCAGGTGTTAGATATCAACACTAGCTATAACCTGTTTCTGGGAAGACCGTTTATTCATATGGCCGGGGCTGTGCCGTCTACCCTTCACCAACTGATGAAATTTGTTTGGAAGGACCAGGAATTGGTCATTCATGGTGAAGGGAGTCATTCCAACGGATTTGCACCGATCGTTGATGATGTCTCTCGAGGTTGCGACTTCTACACGGTGGAGCTGGTAAATGCCACCGGTGATGACTTGGCTCCACAGCCTCCTATGCCTGCCGTGTACAAAATGATTGCTACTGTCATGCTCCAGGATATCAGGCATCCGTGATGCAGAACCTGATGAGCAATTGCAGAACTGGACCTCCACACCACTCCTGATTTTCCGCTCATCTGGGTAGAAAGGACATGCATTTTGTTTGTTTTAAAATTGGTGGTAGTCCGGAAGAGGCCCGAGACCTACCTTTTATGCAATTGTTATTTGTTTGAAGCTTTTAAATTCCCTTGCGACGTTTAAAAAGGCAAAATGGCCCTTGGTCATTGCCAAAGTTTGTGCTTGTCTTTCAATTTAAATGAAAAGCCTCTTTTATCGAAATTTGTTTGTTTACTTATCTGTTTATATTTTACTTTCCTAACTTTGCTTGTTTATGATTTCAGTAATATTAATTTAAAACCTGCCAATGTCATGTCATGGCATGAACCGAGTGAACGAAATGAGGCAGGTGATGATGAGTGTGAAGAATATGAAGAAGAAACTGAGGTACCCAAACATGTTGCTGAAGAGTTTCGACAATTCGAGAATCAACACAAGCCAAATCTAGAAGAAACCGAAACTGTAAATCTCGGAGATGAGAAATGTGTCAAAGAAGTCAGAATCAGTGTCCATCTGACTGAAGCCCAAAGAAGAGACTTGGTTCGTTTGCTCAGGGAGTACATTGATGTATTTGCCTGGTCTTACAGAGACATGCCAGGGCTAAGCACGAATATGGTATCCCACAAGTTGCCGATCTATCCAGATTTCAGTCCAGTAAAACAAAAGACTCGAAAGTTCAAGCCTGAGTTGAGCTTGAAGATCAAAGAGGAGATTACAAAACACATCGAGTCTCAAGTAGTGGAAGTGACGCAGTATCCGACTTGGTTAGCCAACGTTGTTTCGGTTGCCAAGAAAGATGGAAAAATTAGAATTTGTGTTGACTACAGAGATCTCAATAAAGCTAGCCCAAAAGATAATTTTCCATTGCCAAACATTCACATCCTCATTGATAACTGCGCTAAGCATGAGATGCAGTTATTTGTGGATTGTTATGCGGGTTACCACCAGATCCTGATGGACGAAGAAGATGCAGAAAAGACAGCCTTCATCACGCCGTGGGGTGTATATCATTATCGGGTGATGCCTTTTGGTCTCAAGAATGCTGGTGCTACTTATATGAGGGCCATGACAACAATCTTTCACGATATGATTCACAAAGTGATCGAAGTGTATGTAGATTATGTCATAATCAAGTCCCGCGAGAGTTCAGA